ACCCCTTTCCTTTTTTCCGAAAAATGGAAAATTTCTGGAAAATTTTTTTTTTCGGCCGGATAAAGCTAGAAAGAAAGGCCTGTAGATGCTGATCAAGAATATATATGATTTATGGGGTCGGAAATGACTGCTTCACTTTCTTTTAAGTTTCTGACTGAAGGTGCATTACTATTTTTTAATCGATATTAACTATATTTTTATATGGAAATTTATTTGACTAACCAAAATTTAAAAATATCGTAACTAAGCCAAAAAAGGATCAATTTCAATTCGGAAAGCGTTCGTATGTTTATTTTTAACAGGTTAATAAAACTGCCAATGATTTATAGGGTCGGAAATGACTCCTTCACTGTCTTTTAAGCTTCCGACTGAAGGTGCAATACCATTTTTTAATCGATATTAACTATATTTTTACATGCAAATTTTTTCGACAAATCAAAATTTAAAAAACTCATAACTAAGTCAAAACAGCATTAAATTCAATTCGGAAAGCGGTCGTCTGTTTATTTTTAACAGGTTAATAAAACTGCATACTCCATTTAAAATGCGAATTTTTGTCGATTTTTGCAAATTTTCATGATGTAACCCCTTTCCTTTTTTCCGAAAAATGGAAAATTTCTGGAAAATTTTTTTTTTCGGCCGGATAAAGCTAGAAAGAAAGGCCTGTAGATGCTGATCAAGAATATATATGATTTATGGGGTCGGAAATGACTCCTTCACTTTCTTTTAAGTTTCTGACTGAAGGTGCATTACTATTTTTTAATCGATATTAACTATATTTTTAAATGCATATTTTTCGACTTACCAAAATTTAAAAATATCGTAACTAAGCCAAAAAAGCATTAATTTCAATTCGGATAGCGTTCGTATGTTTATTTTTAACAGGTTAATAAAACTGCCAATGATTTATAGGGTCGGAAATGACTTCTTCACTTTCTTTTAAGCTTGCGACTGAAGGTGCAATACCATTTTTTAATCGATATTAACTATATTTTTACATGCAAATTTTTTCGACAAATCAAAATTTAAAAAACTCATAACTAAGTCAAAACAGCATTAAATTCAATTCGGAAAGCGGTCGTCTGTTTATTTTTAACAGGTTAATAAAACTGCATACTCCATTTAAAATGCGAGTTTTTGTCGATTTTTGCAAATTTTCATGATGTAACCCCTTTCCTTTTTTCCGAAAAATGGGAAATTTATGGAAAAATTTTTTTCGGCCGGATAAAGCTAGAAAGAAAGGCCTGTAGATGCTGATCAAGAATATATATGATTTATGGGGTCGGAAATGACTGCTTCACTTTCTTTTAAGCTTGCGACTGAAGGTGCAATACCATTTTTTAATCGATATTAACTATATTTTTACATGCAAATTTTTTCGACAAATCAAAATTTAAAAAACTCATAACTCAGTCAAAACAGCATTAAATTCAATTCGGAAAGCGGTCGTCTGTTTATTTTTAACAGGTTAATAAAACTGCATACAAATTTTCATGATGTAACCCCTTTCCTTTTTTCCGAAAAATGGAAAATTTCTGGAAAATTTTTTTTTTCGGCCGGATAAAGCTAGAAAGAAAGGCCTGTAGATGCTGATCAAGAATATATATGATTTATGGGGTCGGAAATGACTGCTTCACTTTCTTTTAAGTTTCTGACTGAAGGTGCATTACTATTTTTTAATCGATATTAACTATATTTTTATATGGAAATTTATTTGACTAACCAAAATTTAAAAATATCGTAACTAAGCCAAAAAAGGATCAATTTCAATTCGGAAAGCGTTCGTATGTTTATTTTTAACAGGTTAATAAAACTGCCAATGATTTATAGGGTCGGAAATGACTCCTTCACTGTCTTTTAAGCTTCCGACTGAAGGTGCAATACCATTTTTTAATCGATATTAACTATATTTTTACATGCAAATTTTTTCGACAAATCAAAGTTTAAAAAACTCATAACTAAGTCAAAACAGCATTAAATTCAATTCGGAAAGCGGTCGTCTGTTTATTTTTAACAGGTTAATAAAACTGCATACTCCATTTAAAATGCGAATTTTTGTAGATTTTTGCAAATTTTCATGATGTAACCCCTTTCCTTTTTTCCGAAAAATGGAAAATTTCTGGAAAATTTTTTTTTTCGGCCGGATAAAGCTAGAAAGAAAGGCCTGTAGATGCTGATCAAGAATATATATGATTTATGGGGTCGGAAATGACTGCTTCACTTTCTTTTAAGTTTCTGACTGAAGGTGCATTACTATTTTTTAATCGATATTAACTATATTTTTAAATGCATATTTTTCGACTTACCAAAATTTAAAAATATCGTAACTAAGCCAAAAAAGCATTAATTTCAATTCGGATAGCGTTCGTATGTTTATTTTTAACAGGTTAATAAAACTGCATACTCCATTTAAAATGTGAATTTTTGGCCGATTTTTGCAAATTTTCATGATGTAACCCCTTTCCTTTTTTCCGAAAAATGGGAAATTTCTGGAAAATTTTTTTTTTCGGCCGGATAAAGCTAGAAAGAAAGGCCTGTAGATGCTGATCAAGAATATATATGATTTATGGGGTCGGAAATGACTTCTTCACTTTCTTTTAAGCTTCCGACTGAAGGTGCAATACCATTTTTTAATCGATATTAACTTTATTTTTATATGGAAATTTATTTGACTAACCGAAATATTAAAAACTCATTTATTAGCCAAATAAAAATCAAATTCAATTCGAAAAGCGATTTTTAATCGAAGAAGTCATTTCCTACCCTATAAACCACTTGATCACAACACTTTTAGAATCGCCTTCCGTTTTTGGCTTAAATGTGATCAATTTCCCATTGTAACCTTTGTTCCTGTTTCTGATTGCAAGCGTGTACAAATATTAAGATACGCATACGCATCAAGTATTAAAATTTATGGCAATACGAGTTTTACAAAGTATATTGAAATATAATAGAGAACGGGGATCATGATCATTTTGATTTTAATGCTTGCACCGACAATCTAAATCCGATTGACAGGTTTCTCGTATTTTTTTTCAATGTGTACGACTTTTTGTTGGGGGACGGGGGTTTTGTTTGGTGGCCGCCTGCGGCTGGCAAAACGACAAAATGTATGCTACGTTCCGGCTGAATTGCAGATTTTCATCCTCCATACATACACAGCAGCCGCTTATTCCCTGCGCCTTTATGTGCAAAAAGCACGAGAGGGAGGTCTTCCACTTTCCACCCTTTCCCGTAGCTCTTACTTAGTTCGTGTAGGGAACTGCGGGATACTGGGGAGGGACAATGTTTTGCCATTTGGCCGCATATTGCTAATGGAATGGAGCGCATTCGCCCCGCCTCGTTTCGCCTCGCACCTGCCACTGGCTTGGGGATTATCCGAGCAGTTCCGCAGCATACTTTTGGGATCATATCTAAATTGAAAAAGTTATCGGAGCCGTGTGTCAAATGTGTCGCCGTCACCGTTACCGTCGCCTTTTATTTACAATTTTATTTTCATGGCAAACGTGTGTCGCCTCGGATAATCGATTCAAATCGATGCCAAGCGATGCCTGGCCTACTGTGGCTGTCGAAATCCGCTTACAATACGCCAAGCCAAGCCGCGAGGATATGTCGTTGACAGCCGGCTGTCCGGCAAGCAATAAACAAAAATAATGTTGCCTGCTTCCAGGCGCGCGCTACATAAATTATAACATTAAAGACACCACCGAAAGGCATAAAAATCTTATTTATTTGGCGAAAATCGCTGCGTTGGCTAATAATTCGTAGCCATAAATTAGGGCCCCGCACAAAAGTTGGAGCCCCCGTTAAATGCGTGGGCTCAATATCCGGATCTGGGATTCCGGAATTGGGACGAAATTAAAACCTGGCCTGGATGCTTAGACAGGCGATTTAACTGTTATCCGCCCAAAGCCTCCCCCACATATTGACTGACAGTGTGTGTGTGTGTGGCCATTAGTGACTGTTCAATCTGTTCACTAGGTGCCTCAAACTTTGCCCAAAATGTTCATCGATGGTCCACCGGACGAAGCTCATTACGTATTGATGCCCTCTCATGTGAAATAATTGGCGTAGTTGTCCATTAGCATTTAATAATTCATGGCTGCCTGTCTATCCACATCCCTCTCTCTCTTTCTCTCTCTGTGTGTGTGTGATGTGTGTGTAGGCCAGCCAACAAAAGTCAAAATTGTGCTGGCGTTGAGGCTATTAAGTTCAGGCAATCAGACACAATGTGTAAACCCGATTAGCTTCTCGGTGTTGCCTTGGTTGGGATCGGGTGTGTGAATAGATTATCATTGCAGTGATATTTGAGATGATTCAATTGATTGATAACCTGAAATTGATTGATGAAAATTAATTGAAATGCTGCATAAAAAGCCCCTGTCACAAAACCCAGATTTCTTGGCCACAAAATAAAAACTCTTGAGATATAATTTTCCATGTTTTACAATTCCATTTTATTTTTCTTTGAGTGAACTTTAATTTACAATATTCATTATTAATTGCTTTAATATTATAATTCTTTATTAATAAACATTTCACACATACCAAATTTTAGCTAATATTTTGTTTTTCTTTTAAGCTTTTAGGCGTACCTAAATTAAAATACATTTCACAGGAACCAAATTGTTTAGCCAATACACAATACATTATGTTTCTTTTTGTTTTTTTTCCTTGTAAATAAATAAAAATATTTGAAAGCTTGTTTATACACTAAATAAATGAGAAGAATATTAGAGTTACTACAAATTAAATGATTTAATGCTTTTAAACTGATCACAGCAAATTGTTGATTTCGAATACCCAAGAACGAAAAAAACGGAGCAAAATATTTTTTAATTAGATACATTTTCAAATACTCTAAAAATGTTATTATGTTTTGTTGGCTTTGTAAATTTGTTCTAAATATTTGAGTTTTGTTTTCTTTTTTATTCAGTTTTATTTTCTACGTATTTACAGAGATGTTATTCTTCAAATATTTGACTAAAAATTAAACCAACTTGGTGCTAAAAATGTTACTTTAATCATTCCGTTCAATTTGATAACTGTCTGTATTATTTGTTCCATAACAAACCGGGCTTTATTACTAGTCACAATAGTAGTTAATAGTTAGGCTTATAAACAGTTTCCGTTTAGCTAATATCTCTTATCCATTCCATTTTTCTTTTGATTTCACAAAATGTTTCTTTCGGTACCAAAACTTCAACGAAATGTCTTAACTTTTTACAATTGATTTCATGGACGTGAAAGGAAAGTTGCACTCCTTGTGTCCTCTATGTCCTGACTCCTTTGTTCCTTCTCTGAGTTCTTCTGGGCTTCAGTGTGTGTGTGTGTGTGCGTGTGCGAGTGTGTGTGTGTCTGTGGGTGGTGTGGGCGTGAGTATGGGCGAGGTATGTGACTGGTGTGCGACGCTAGTTGATGTTAAAACGCTGCGCCTAGAAAAGTTTTGCGTTGTTATTAGTTTATGGACAAGTGACTGTGTGTGTGTATGCGTATTCGTGTAAGTGTTCATATATAATGTGTGTGTGTGTTTAGTATTGTTACATTTAAATTAAATTTTAAACTAGGCAACAAATTGAATTTGTTGAGTATTTTCTTCACTTTTCCCCTATGCTGTTTTCGTTCATGTCTTTTCTATTTTGTTTTTGGCATTCTTCATTTCTTACTGCTAAATGAAAGTATTTGTTGCTTAGACTTTCATTTTTAGTTGAGTTTTTCTTGTTGTTTTTTTTCTTAGTTTTTGGTGCCTTGGTCTAAAGGAATTACTAATAGGAGATGCTCAGTAGTTGTTCTTCAGTGTCAACCCGGCAAAAGTGTGTATTGGATATGCATTTGGGAGGTTCTTTGGCAGGACCTTAAACACACTCGGTGCCCGGCTCAACGAGGGGTTTATTATGCTACAGTAGGGATAACAAAATAAAATATATAATTTTGGGTTAGTTGAGGTCATTCAGATAATTCAATTAAGTAAATAAATAAATAAAAAAATAAAATAACATAAAGGGAAGCTAACTTCGAGAAGCCGAAGTGTGTATACTCTTGCAGTTTATAAGGATATTAACTTTGGCTTTTGGGCCTTCTTATACCAGCAAGGAAACTGAAAATTTGTGTATTTCCGGCATATAAAATCGTTATTTTTATATGCCAATTTTTTGGTTAAGTCAAAGTTTTTCAAATGTCATAACTAAGAAAAAAATGGATTTATTTCAATTCGGAAAGCTGTTCTGTGCTAGTTTTTATAGGGCAAACAAATCTGCATACAGAATTTTAAGATTTAAGAAACTCAATTTTTGTCAATTTTGGCAAATTTTAATGATGTAACCCCTTATAAAATTTTCAAATTTTAGAAAATTTTTGAAAAATTTTGTTTTGAGCCGGACATGGCTAGATCGATTCAGTTTTTCATGCTGATCAAGAATATATATGGTTTATAGGGTCGGAAATGATTCCTTCACTGGTTTTTAAGCTGTTGACTGAACTTAAATTGCACAACAAGGGTATAGAGAAAAACTTATGATAAATTAATATAAAAGTTAAAAATTACAGTGATAAGTTATAAAAAAAGAGATATAAAGACCAGCAATTATATACAACTAAAAGCAACAAAAATAATAAACTTAATTTTGTAAAAAGAATAAATATAACGTACTTAGAAAGCAAACAAATATCAACTTCAATAAAAATATTTATAGAGTATTGCAATTACATTAAACCTAATCCAACAACAATAGTTCAGAGCAAATGGTAATTTCTGGTATGTTAAATAATGAAAAAAGAAGAGAATAGGCCGCAAAATACCAATAAAAAAGAGATTTGGTTAGCAATTTCCTAAACGAGGATATTTAATTATAAACCGTAATGAAAACGGCCAACCGCTAAGCCTGCGGCATGGATTTTGGGCGCAACGAGTTCGCTTGCTTATATGCAAATGATGTTGTTGTATATTGGTTGCTCTGTGGCAACCGAAACAGAAAATCTCTCTTAATGCCACTTTGTTTAATTTCGCATAATTATTATTATTATTATTATGCAATGGTTGTCTTATTTTGTGCGTCTGTTTATTAATAAACCGACCGCATTAATTAAAACTGACAACGAAGCAGCTGCCGCAGAGGCAGGGTAGAAAGGTAAAACGTAATTTAATTGAAATGTTTTACTAAAATGCCATATATTCCGGCATTCTCTGAGACGCTTTATGGTTTAGTGGGGCGGACCGAGCGACATTTTGACGCTTCACTGACGCCATTTAATTGGCCTTTTAGTTAATTGGCCAATTGATATGCATGTTTTGATTGCATTCGCAGCTCTGCAATTAGCGATACCCACGGGCAGCTGTCGATAGTGAACTCAAAGAGCACACACACTGGACGCTTAACTCAATGCTAAATTAAATCATAAAGCAATAAAATAATAATTAAATTGTACACAGGAGGAGCCGACGACACACCGTTGTAATATAATATGCTAATAATAATAATGTTTTAGTATTTGTTCTGCGACCACAACTTACCGGTTTTAATGACTAAATTGGCGCCGTGGTTTCATTACGTTTCGCTCGCGGCATTTAAAATTTAAATAAAATAGTTGGATAAACGAATTTCGATTAAATATCTATGTATAGAGAAGAGTCGCAAGTCTCGAGGGATGCGAGACTCTTTCACAACAATTTTCAGGACTCGCTTAAATCTGATCTATCAGCTATTTGGATCAACTTAACTTAGCCTAGGATACAGCTATGATACGCATACACTTGGCATTTATATACAACATTAACTTAGCACCTATTCGCCTAGAACCTCACGTAGCTAAAATCATTCGGATTCGTAGCCATCGGAGGGGCGGACCCGCTTACCTCCTCCTCCATGGCCGTGGCATACATCTGCGGCGTCCCGTTCTTCTGCAGACTGAAGTGATCCTCCGTGGTCTTGTGATAGACCGGATTCTCAAAGTTCATCGAATTGACCGCCCGCGTGCACCGTCTGTACGTCAACACGAGTATCTGCAGAAATATAAATATATAAGTTTAGAAATTACCTTAAGCAATAAATATAATGAATACTTACACAACCCACTAGAGCGGCTAACGATAGAGATGCTATCACAATCATGGCTATTACGCCATAGTCCTCCTCTGGGTTCTGGGTAGAGCCATCGGTTTTATTGGTTGTGTGGGTGCCATTGCTACCAGCTTTTCCTTCAACTATTAAGAAAAACAAAATATAAAAATATTCAAGTATTTAGTAAAAATTCATCAAAATTCATAACAATTAAACAAATACAAAGAAGAATGTGTTTTGATAAATGATCAAATTAGTAAGACCCGGAAACCATTTAGTATTATTTTAGTTTATAAGACAGAAGTAAGAACCCTTTTCCAAATGATAACCTTAAATGTTACAAAAAACTATTACTGTCTTATATTATATGATATCGAAATTTGCAATCAATTATGAAACCAAACTTACTCAAAAATTCCGAGTTCCATCTCCCTTTAATTTCATAATTCCTATGACAAAATATAATTAAATTGTTGTCTTTCGACTGGCAAAAGACAGAAAAAAAGAAGAAGGAAGAGGGGACTCCCCAACGATGACTACATCCCGTGGCGAGTGTTTCCGCTTTTGGGTTTCCCTTGGCTTTGCTGTCAGTGACTCGGTGCGCTTTTTATTTGGCGGTGCCCTTTGCTGTTGTGGTGGCAGGAAGTTGTAGGATTTTTCCGCTGTCATCATAATTCGTTTTCATATTTTTCCGTTTAGAATTTGTTCAACAGCAGAAAAAAAGACGCACAAAGTTGAGAGGAGAAGCGCGTTCGCCTGGCAAAGGATATGAAGGCGCGCATTTAACGCGCCCCCTCAAGTTTTTCCCACTTCCACCGAATTTTCCCCCCTCCTCTTTTATTGTTGTTATTAATTTTTGCTCTACGAGTGTCCAGAAGGATGAGGGGAGGGAGAGGTGTGGCTTTGGCCTTAGACGAGAGCATGTGGCAGGGAATTATCATTAAAAGTTGATAGCTGGCAACAGCTGGTCGGCATCGATTCCTCGAAGCCGCGTTAAGATGCTGCAAATTTATTTAAGCGGCATTAACAGACAGTCAAATGGCAGGGCAAGTCGCTGAAAAGTTGCACGTTGCTGTGGCATATTAATTGCCCGATTTATCCCACGAGTGGGTGTGTGCTTGTTTATGATTTTTTGCTCTCTTTAGAGGGAAGATAATACGCCAGGATAAGCCAGATGCTGTTCTTTTATATTTTTAAACTTTTTTTCTCTTGGCAGCTTAATAATTATTTTATTGCCTTTGGATTTGGGTGGGGCAAGAAGAACATTATGAGCATCCTTTCACCTCAGTAAAAGTTAAGTATTTTTGTTTAAAATTGTACAGAGAAGAAAAAGATTTTTGAATTACTTTTTAAATCTCCAGAGGTGTTTTACATTATTAATATTTTTTAGAGAAATTAGGACTCTCAAATGAATTAAATTCTTAACAGGTTTGTCATGGGAAGTCTAATTTATGAATGTTTCTCTCCTATTTATTAATATTTTCATACGACAATTTTTTCAAAAAATCCAATTTTAAAAACGTCATAACTAATCAAAAAATGCACTAATTTTAATTCGGAAAGCGTTCCTCAGCTAGTTTTTAGAGGCTTAACAAATCTGCATACTGGGATTTTAAATTTAAAAAATTAAATTTTTTGTCAAATTTTGACAATTTTAAAGATGTAACCCCTTATAAAATTTTTAAATTTTGGAAATTTATTTTTTCTTTCTTAAATGGTTAGATAGATTCCCCTATTGATTCTGATCAAGAACTCCTTCATATAATTATAAGCGTTTGACTAAAATATTAATGCCCTGCAAGGATATAAAAATACTGACAGTCCGATCTTAGGAGAAGTAGTAACGCTTCCTACATATATAGATTCTACAATATTTTATTTGTTATAATTAAAGATTGTTAATCCGAAATGAAAACAGTCTTGGTAGCATGTGCATGCAACCGCCAATGCATTTTTATAAAATATGCAACATATATTTGGGTAATGGTTCCCTTTGGGAAAGTCTAATTTATTTTTCAGACAAACTGCTTCGCAACATTTCCATTTGCTTTTCGGTATCCAACTGTATCTCTCTGCTACTCTGGCAAGTTTTATGTTTGCCTATAAATGTCATATATTATTGCGCCCTCCTAATCTATACAAAATGCAATTTCCGTGCTTCACTCACGCACACACATACAGGAGAGTTATGCCTCATCGCCCATTTGGATAATCCAGCACATGTGCTTTCATATTTATTTGGAAACTCCCAACTCGGGATAACGCATAACAGGTGCTCTCAGCTCCGCCTCTCCTCGATTCCCGGCCAACGGAAGTGCCATAAAAAGTACGACAAAATGGCTGCCGTGCCACAATTTTCCTTCCCGTAACGAAATAAAAACGCATAAAATATGTTCCGTCACCTGTTTTGGGTTTATTTCGTACGGGCAGAGAGCGTGAAGAGGGGATGTAAACAGATTAGATAAACCGCAAAAAAAAAGTTTAAAAGTTTTTGAAAAAAAAACAAGAGAAAAGGAGAGAAAGCAAGTCAAAAATGGTGTGGCATGCAAATAAACAAAATGGCGGCTTTGCTGCCATGTCTGTGGCCTCCTGCTGACCTCCTCGGCCCGGCGCTGTCTTCACATCGAAGGCAATATGCAGTAAAGTTAGAGGCGGACAATAACAATTGCCTCGGCAGACTGACCGAACTGCAGGCAAATGAAAGTCATAAAATGCTGCAAGGAGTCAGAACAGCAGCAGCTGTTCGCCCAGTTTTCTGCCTGTATTTGCTGCCAATTTTCCCGCATTTTCCACAGCCTCCACCGCCGTTGCCGCCCTGAGCTTCATTTTATGTGGTTGGCTATTAAAAACGCAGTCGTTACTTCGACGGCTCAAAGTTTATGGTTACTGAGGTCTGGCTCTGAGTCTGGATCTGTCCAAGTGCCATTCTCCCGCTCACCCGTGCTTTGGCGAGTGTGTCCCTGCCCCTCTCAGGGGTATTTGCGAAACTTTGCCTGCGCTTAATTAAGCAATTTGAAGTGGCCAAAGATGGTCATGGAAAAAGTAGCACAAACCGCTAATTGAAATTGCAGTTATGCTGGCCGCCATCGCCGTCGTCGTCGTCATCATCATTGGCAGGACTTGGCCATCTAATTGAAATAGTCCTTAACTAGTTTATAGTTATTTACTTGGCCCAGCTTCTGCAAACTTTTCTTTTCTCGTTCTCCTTTGCTAGGGCTTAAGTCCTCGTCGTTGCCATCATTATTCTGCCACAAATGTGTTGCAGTTCAAGTCCGTCCGTAAATCCTGAGCTGATTAGCTTTTCCCACGCAAAATACACCCCATTCGCAGCGACCTTCAAGCCCTCGATTCCGCCACTATGACTTCTTTAAACTGACGTAATTAGGCACAATTGTGCGGGCTTCTTAGTAAGCTTTCGCAGGAAACTTGATTTCAGTGCCATCGTGGACATGACAACGTATTAAAACGCTTACTCATAAGCCGACCGAGCAAATGTGAGAGGATTAGGAGAAATAATTGTAGAGATTTTACAATGAAATCTCATAGAGTTGTGGGTTTTTATATCGCAATTGTAAAGCCACTCAAATGCTTTGTTAATTGCTTTACTAATTTAGCTTGGGAATCACTAAACAAAGACTTTATTTGTTGTATTAAAATTATAATTGAATAAACACATTTAAAGCATTATTACTTTGCTAAAATTCATACAAATCCCTCAAGGTTTCAAATTACGAATTGTTTTTTATATTTCAAGACCTCTTTTGAAATTTTTTAGCAAAACAAATATACATGCTGAAAAAACAAAGGCTCTGCCATTAAAGACCTAATTCATTTCTTGTTAAAAAACATGTAAGCATCTTCCTGATGCCCAAGGAACCAGACCAAATACCCTTTATTAGCTTTATTTATTCTCGGAAAAGAAGCCAGCTCAAATTCGGTTGCCAACGCAAAATATCTTTTGCTGCTTTTCATTTTCATTCTCGTTTGCAATAATGGAGGACCGTTCAATTTGGCATTCCGATTGATCAAAGTGCGTCTGTCTGTCGGCCGAGAGGCGGCTAAATTTGTGTTTATTAAAAATAATGATACAGCGTTTAGAAGAGGCGTACAGGCGCACACAGAGGGCTCTAATTTAAATCAATAGCAACAAGGATACGGTATCAAAATGGACACAGACACACACATACACAGACATTGGAAAATGGATGAAAATTGGGGAAAATGGGTGGAGTGGTTCTGTTGCATATTTTTTGTTTTTTTGTTGGTATAAACCACACCATGGCTAGATGGGGGTAATTTATTTTGCTCCAAAGCCGACAGACCGAATGTCGACAATTCGAGGTGTTGACAGTGCCAATTTGCTGGAGGATGGCGATGACGAATTTCTGGTTAAACTATTTGCCATGCTCCATGTCACCCCCTTGTTGGTGTAGCATTGGTGTCCTGTTGATGTTACTCTAGATGTTGTTGGTGTTGGTGCTTATGTACAATTTAATTTCATGGCGATTTGTTGACGACTCTCCTACAGTCTGTCGCTGATATGTCAGACGGTTGAACTTCTGGCTGCCCCTCATCTACGCCCTGCCTCTGCGGTTGTCAGCCGTTCATCATTCCCGCTTCCAACCGAATTCCCATCCTCATCCCCAGTCCCAGTACCATTCCCATTCCCATCTCCATCCCCATCGTCATCGTCATCCTCATTCGCATCCTCGCATCCATGTCACTCTGTCAGAGCAGTTCGCAAATTGCAAGCACAAAATTTGCCCGGCTGCGGTTATGGAGCTCCGTTTAAGCTGAACATGAGGAGGAGTCCAGGGGAATCCCTGGGATGGCGGAGCTGCCATTAAACATGTCACCAATGACTCCTCTCTCTTGCGGTTTTTACATCGTACTTGTGAGTGTGTGCGCGAGACCCGATATTTATGTTTTACGCTCAGCTCGTTCGCAATTTTGTAAACTTTGCATCTGCGTGTGTGTCAGTGTACATTTTGAGTGATTACGTCGATATCATTGATGTTGATTTATGATGATGACTATGGCTGTATGTGTGCAACTTGCTCGAGAAATTGTGGCAACAACAAATTCAAAAAACAACAAGATGAGCAGGTGAAAACGATGTTCACAACGACGGAAGGTGGACATAATATTAAATGAAAACGAGAAAGGAAGCTAACTTCGGGATGCCGAAGTTCTTTATACCCTCACAATCGATGTTAACTAAGCCAAAAATGCATTTATATAAATTTCAAAGGCTCTTCTTTCAAAAATTATCAATTATCTCTTACAGAAATTTGAAAAATTAGTTTTTAAATCAATATTTGTATATGCTAATTTTTTGGTTAAATCAACATTTTTCAATTATCATAACTAAGCCAAAAATGCATGAATCTTTATTCGGAAAGCGTTGCTGTGCTAGTTTTTATAAGGCTTACAAATCTGCATACTCGGATTTAAATTTAAAAAAATTCAATTTTTTGTCAATTTTTGCAAATTTTAATGATGTAAAATTTTCAAATTTTTGAAAAGTTTTGTTTTGTGTCGGACATAACTAGATCGACTCAGTTTTTAATGCTGATCAAGAATATATATGGTTTATAGGGTCGGAAATGATTCCTTCACTGCTTTTTAAGCTTTTAACTTCGGCAAGGGTATAAAGGCAAAAAAACTTAAACTGGAGCCAACACCAGGTTTGAAAGTAGGAAAAAGGTGAGGAATTTCATATATACCTATACTTAGTGGGATAAATATCCCTCATTACAAATATTTAAATCATAAAATGTGATTTTAAACAGTGATAAATACTTGTGACTCTTTTAAAAACTTGATAAACAAGTACAGATCTTTAATAATAATAATATAGTACGATATATTTTGAAATTCCCAGCCTTACATTTCCCTAGCTCACCAAAACCTTAACCATACAAGGACCACCACCATAGATTTTTCATATAAAAAAGACTTGTCGCATACCCGGCGCTTCACTGTGCGCATCTTGAGGTAGACTTGTGGTGGTTGAGGTGAACGACCTGTCTGTCGTCCTGGGCACCGCTGTGCTGTTATACTTCGCACTCGGGACTCGCACTACAACAAAAGTTAATTTCATAGATATAATGAAATCGGAAATGGCGGAAACATTCGATTCAATGAAATTTGCACTGCTGTGCGGGCCACTTAATAGGCCGCAACCGCATCAGGAAAACGTTCTGCCTTGTCCAGGTCCAACCTGGCCTGTCCAACTGACCGCAGGACACAGAAGCCATCGAGGCGAGCGAGGACAATCGCTCGGTGTGGCGCATCAAATGCAATTACGAAATCCCCGCGTTAAATTCCAACAAAAAAAAAAGCAGAACGAAAAAGAGGTAAAACTACTTACGATCCTCGACACACATGAGGCCGTCGGGCATCAGCTTCAGGCCCGTGGGACAGGCACAGGATATGCGCGGACTCCGCTCGTTAATCCTGGGCGCCGGCAGGCAGAGATGGGAGCAATGACCATTGACCGACTGACAGTGGTTAACGCCATCGGGCTGACGGTACGGATGGTAAACGTGCACCACCATGGGATGTTCAAGCTGCAGGAAAATCGAAAAGCAATTAGTGAGACTTGTCTGCTAGTAGACATTACTCATACGACATGTATAGCAATGTAATATTATCATAAACATATTATCCTTACCATATGGCCCGCTGTGACAGCCTCTATATCCTGTCCCGTGAACTTGTTCGCCTTGAAGACCGCCTGCTTGTCCCAGTCGGTCCAGTAGACGTAATCCTCGAAGGTGGTAATGGAGAAGGGATGTCGCAGGTATTCGCCGGAGTACAGCACCTGGCGACGCTCAGAGCCATCGTAGTTAGACGACGAGATGGTGTTCAGCTTGCCATCCACCCAGTACAGGCGCTTCTTTACCAGATCCAAGGTGATGCCATTGGGCCATTTCACATCATAACTAATAATGGCAGTACGGTGGGAGCCATCCATGCCCGCCCTCTCAATACGCGGCGAGGCACCCCAATCGGACCAGTACATCCAGCCGTCAATGGGATCCAGGGCAATGGAACGTGGAATGTCCAGGGCATCCTTAATAAGGACCTTGCCCATGTTGCCCTCGAAATTGGTCAGTTCGATGGTGCACTTGTGGGTGTCTGTATAGTAGACATGGTTATAGATCCAATCCACTGCCAGACCATCCGAGGTAACTGAAGATTGCTTCAGTACCACAGTCTTTTCGCTACCCTCGTCTATAGGTGCCTTGTAGATGCTCTGTGTGGCAATGTCACTCCAGAAGATCATCCCAGTGCGGAAAACGAAATCCAAAGCTGTGGCTGCCTTTGTACTATTCACAATGGAAGTCATTTCAGGGCGTTCGAGGGCTATTTTCCGGATGTCATGACGTCGGGCCAACAGCAGAGAGGCATGACCCTCGCTGGCCTTGCAGCGGGTATGGTTCTTCAGGACTCGCATGTACCCCGTCTCGCACTCGCACTTGAAGGCTCCGATCTCATTGACGCACACCTGTGAGCAGATGCCATGTGTCTCGCACTCATCGATGTCCACACAGCTGCGCTTATCCGCTGCCAGCTTATAGCCTTCCTGGCATTCGCATCGATAACCCACCGCCAGGTTTATGCACTGATGCATGCATCCGCCGTTTTTCGTGGCACACTCATTGATGCCACACTTGCCGGCGGGCTCATCCTCACCGTTGGGACAATCCTTCCGGCGGTCACAGACCTTGGAATTGGGAATGCACTGACCGCCACCGCAATCGAACTCGCTGGTGGCATTGCATGTCCTTGGCGGGGCACTGAGGTTGCACTTCTTCTCATCGCTGCCATCGGGGCAGTCACGGTCCCCGTTGCAGGTCAAATGCCCGGCAATGCAGCTGCGATCGTCGCACTGGAACTGATCTGGCCGGCAGGTCACGCTCGCACAGTGCTCCTGAGACTCGTCCTCGCCATCAGGACAGTCGGCCTCGCCATCGCACACCCAGGTCCTGTGCAGGCAGGTGATGTGATCTCGGCACTGGAATTCGTTGGCCTGGCATAAGTTTAGCGATGCACGAGTGCAGTTTTCCTAAGGTAGAGATAGTAAAGAGAATCGATATACATCTTATATGAGTTAAACCTTATTTATTTCTACAAAATATGATGAACTTTTCCGGATAACTCTTATATTTATAAATCCTCTCAGCTAAGATGAATCTGTGCGCATAGCGAGGATAAAGAAAGTTAAGTTTACTGCTGGTACAACAGTTTGCTTTTCTTGTTAAGTGCCAACCAAATATTCAGGCAGTTAAGCTTGGTTCACAAACACAGCCCTATACACACACACATATGCACTGGCACGCACGCACACACGAGTATATAGTTCCCTTTGGCCATTTCCTGCATTTTTTGTGCTGCATACTTTCAAGAGCATGTTGTACACTTTATACTCTTTGTTTATTATAGATATTTGTGGCTAATAACAATATGTTTGTATATTAAAACTAAAGATTATATTTGTAAAAGTTAATAAAATAAATATATCAGATAGAAACTATAAACCTAAATAAATAAAGGGTTTTCTTTTCATGGTGAAAAGAAATTGCAAAATCTTGTATACTATATGCATATGTTATTGTACATTTATCTATTAAATACAAATTCAAATAAAGGGCATACATTAAGCAGTATATTCGTATAGTTTGCTATATAGTTCCTCTACTTTTATTGTTATTCCGGTGCCATGCATCCTCTACCTCCCCCCACTGACAACAAAAGCCATGCGTCATACATATAAATGTTTATGGGAAACAGTTGCCGACATGGTCCTCGTCGTCGTCGTCGTCGTTGCCAGTTTTGAATAATGCTCGCGTCCTGCATAATTTATGCTTCCTAGCTAGCTTCATATAAATACATATTTATATGCGAGCGAATGAGTATGTGAGAGTGTGTGTATAGGGTTTGATAATGTGCTCATATCAATTTTCATTTCAAGTATTAAGGTAAGGGAGCCAAGGATTGACAGGGCACCAAAATATGTATGATGAATATTTTTAAATAAATTTTAAATTACTAAGGGATAAATATAGAATCATTTGATACATGTCCCATCAATACAAAATTGTAAATAATATTTGAAAGATGAACTTGCACTCACCATCTCATCGCTTCCATCCATACAGTCCCTATCTCCATCACACTGCCACTGCTTCGGGATGCAATAGCCGCTGGCACAGGTGAAAGAATCCTCGGAACACTGACGCCTACTTTCGCAGCCCTTCTCATCCGATTCATCGCCGCAGTCATCGTCCTCGTCACACCTGAAGCGGTTCTGGATGCACCGTCCATTGCCACAGGTGAACTCGTCTGAGCGACACGTTCTATCTGCACGAAGGAGGTTAGTCAAACGATTAGCTGGATTTCTCAAAAAGGATTTTACGGAGAGGATTCGTTAGCTGATTAGTGTGTGAACTTTATGGTATGATGACATTTGTTATGGTTTGGTATGGGAAATACAACAAAAAAGGCCAGTAAAGTGTACTTGGGAGAAAACCAACACCATTGCAAAAAAAGTTTCCTGCCAAACAAACAAAAGGATATATGCGGGGCAGGGCAGGGGAACACATGTGAAAGTGACAACAAAAAAATAAAATAAAACACAGCAAACTAAAGCTTATACTGTGTGTGAGTCCGCGTGTTTGTGTGTGTAAATATTTGTGCTTTATTGCATGCGAGTTTAAGCATGGCATTACACAATTTTCCCCTGAAATATGTGTGTGCTCAAGTGCTGGGTAAAAAAGGAAGAGAAAGTAATATAGGATAGGAAGATTACATATATTATATAGAGTAGAATATAGCAGCCAACACCAAGCAGAGGAGGATAAGTACAAAACCGAATAAGAAAAGCTAGCATTTATTTAATTTTGGCTTACTGCACTGGGCCTCATCGCTTCCATCGCGGCAATCTTTGTTCTGATCGCACATCCAGGCCAGGGGAATGCACTCACCCTCGCCCGATTTGCAGGCGAATTGCTCGGGTGAACATGTCTGGCTGCCTAAAAATGTAAAAAAGAATTTACAAGATTCACAAGTGTTCTGAAATTAAAGAAAATCGCAACAGCAGAGTAACTTCGGCAAGCCGAAAGTTCATAGATTATTAAACACAACCTCTGAAAATTAAATTCGTTGGTTTTAAATATCTGAAATTATTTGATGTAAGAAAGATCTACTATTCTTTACAGAAAGTCCCTCCATCGCAGTAATATTTTTATGGCCCAGCAAGATAAGTACACCAAAAATAACCCTCTAACTACCCAGCTAATGCGATTTCGCATCTCCAAAGACATTGAAGCACCAAAGGGCGACGCCTTAAAGTAGGCAACCGAGTGTTGTCCTGTAATTAAGTTTATAAGCAGCTGCCAAAGGGGGAGGGGGTCATGGGGCGGGAACTACTCTGCAAGTAATAAACATAGTTGTCATGCCAGCACACACATACACGCACATAGACATTCGGGGGCTAAACAGTTGGCATTTTATCTAGGCAGTAATTAAGACATTATCAGCCAACACTCCATAAAGTTAAAACGCACACATGCGTATGCATTAAAGCAATTATCGCACACACATACACAGGGGCAGGAACTTTCATTCCAGCGAGGAGCGGACATTAAACAAAGCTGACAACACTCCCACCCACACACACACACTCACACACCCACACACACACACACGCACACTCGCATTAAAACGCTTGTGTTTAACCCTTAATGCGTATTAGTATGCCAGTTCTTCGGGCCTCCCTAACGTGCTTTCTTTCACATTCTTTTCTCTTGCAATGTGTGTGTGTGAAATGGAGGTCCTTTGTGTGATTTTCCCTGATATGATTATGTACATACATCCCGCTGTTTCTGCTCCTTGTGTGCGTGCAAGCAATAAAATCCTATGGCCAAGACATACACACATGTGTGTGTACGAGTATTTGAATATGCTTTTTGGCGTTTTGTCTACCTTTTGGCTCCGCATTTTCCGCCGCACAGCATCCTTGTCTATTTTGTCTATTTGTTTACCGTTTACACGCGCGCTTGATGCCCTACGCCGGAAATTTCTGACATCGTTGCAAATAAATTAATTTATTATTATTTTGCTCTCCGGTGGCATTCGCAATTTTTGGCGCGGTTGCTTAGCATGTACAACGCGTCGTATGCGTGATATGCCTTTAATTGGAATTTACTGTGACCAGTTTCCCGAATTTATTCCTTGTCGTTCGCTAACCGGAATATTTCCCAGAATGGCGGGTCCGCGGATGCCAGTAAAAAGCATTCCAAGGATTCCTCAATTGTTCTCCTTTTTGTTAAGTTTTGAATTTTGATTTTAAATAGATTCGTACTGAGAATGTAAAGTTGAATTTCCCTTTAAAGCTTAGTAAGACTTTTCTGGGTATTTCAAACTGATAAGCCAATTATTTCTATATAATTTCGATGATAAAATTCTCTGAATTCCGTACATATCAGCATTCTCTTGGAGTGTGAGCATTTCGTGAATATTTCTCAGTATTTTGATAAAGTATTTTGTTTCCTTTACTTTCTGGTTTCATTCAATCATATTTCCGCTTTCAATGCTTTTATGTTTGAAGAATTCTATAGTTATTATGTTCATTTGTAATGTTCTTTTATGTATTTATAGTATATTAAATCAATTTATTTTTAAATACTAGATTAAATTTCTATACATTTTTTAATAGGTTTCTCTTTTACCTTTAATAGATTCCCCTTTCAACTAGGTTTTCGATTTTATATTGTGTGGGAAATATATTATTACGTTCAGCAGATATTTTTTCAATTATCCAATATCATTTTGCAGCCATAATTTATGGCTTCATTAAATTTCCCAATGCTGCGGCCCATACACCGGGGTCCTTTTCCACCCCACATGTGTGTACACATACTTATATGTAAGTATATAGTACTCTCCATTTTTATCCATTTTGAGGTAACTACTTGGCTGAATGGACGACGACGACGACGACGTCTCATTCCCGTGTGGCCATGGGAACACAGAGCTCCAGCTCCTGCCCCAGCTTCAGCTTCAGCTCCGGCTTTTGTAAGCCATGACAGAATCAATTTGCTGTTGTGGGGTCACAGTCAATGGACCAGCGATGGTCCTTGCACTCCTTTCCCTTACCCCGAGACACACACACATTGTATTCAATGGCATTTTCTTGTTATCTGACGCCAGAGCGCATATACTTGCAATTTGATTTTAATTTTATTTAAAATGCTTTTTAGACCATGGTACAAGACAAGGTCCTACATAACTGCTGCAACAACGCCTCACGACCATCCCCGCCACTTGAAAGCCAATGAAGCTTAATGCCTTTGTGGGGCAGTTTGCGTTTGCGTTTTGTTTACTCTGCAGTTTGTGTCCCCTTTTCGAGTTTATTGTTCAACCAAGTTTCTTCACTCCCTCCCCCAGAATGGTAAACAAAGTTTTGAAGAGTCCGGAGTGGAGTGTTAAATAGAATTAAACAAAAGGGGCGGAGTCTGTAGCTGAAACTGATAACTGAAAATTGACAGATTTTTAAAGAAATGAACCTCGCTGTGCTTTTTACTCCGAATATTTCAGTTAAAATTAAGATTCACAGAGAGGTAACTGGGCGAAAGCAGAAATGTCAACAAGGTTTGATGACAATTTTAAAGCACATAAAAGTCATAAAAGGACGCACTCACACATACACGGGGATGTAACTTTATGGCTTTACAGCTGTGCTCAAAATAATAGTGAATATAATTGGAAGAAATTATATTTAAAGACAAATTTAGTAGAATTTTGTTAGAAACGTATAAGATTACTTAAGGAATTATTAAGAAATTATTTGTTTTTGATGTAAATTTAGGCTTAAGGTTTTCAGCACTATTATTCTGAACACGGCTGTACCTCCTGTAATCCCCTTAGCCAAGCACTGGGCCATGAGTTCCACCATATAAACCACAGGCTCAATTTGGCGCTGCGTTCGCTGTTTGATTACCGGTTCTTTTTTTTATTTTCATCAAGGATAACATCATAAAAATCGCATCATTTTTTCAATTACATCTCGCTGAAAGTCCTTCCAGCATAAAAACATTTTTTACTCTCCTCGTTTGCCACTCACTTCAGTATATATATCAGAATATATATATGTATATATAGTTTGGGGAAGTGTGTCACAGACAATAAACCGCTAAACAAGTTACTGTGCGAGAACAAAAAACGCTCTCAGAATAAAGTAAAAAGCGGAAACTACACCCAGAAAGGGAAGGAAGAGAGCCAGGACTCTGGAGCAAGCCTAATGCATAAATACAAATTAGTTCCGCCGATGGTCACGTCGCGATGTTGTCCGCAAGGAGTGACGTTAATTTATGGCCTGGTCAGTCCCCAAGTCATAAAATCCGGGGCACATCTCCCAAGTTTCATGGCAGAGCAGAGTCACAGAGGGTCAGATTTCCTCCATGGGAGGGGAGCATGCATTTAAATTTCGATTAAGTGACTCCGCTTTCTTGTCGTTTTAGTGATGAAGGCAAATCCTCGAGTTAGTATGCAAATGTGAGGAGAAAATATACAATAATTCATTCTTTTTGCTTACTGTCACATTCCCATTCGTCGGACTTGTCGCGACAGTCCTCGTCGCCATCGCAGACGAACTCCCGGTTCACACATTGCTCACCATTTTTACACATAAACATGTTGGGGGAGCAACGATCCCCTGTTTATGGTATATCATAAAAATCAAATACAAGTATAATTTAAAGTTAAGCATTATATAGGGATGTATATTAAAAGGAAAAATCTAATGTGTCCAAAAATGAACTGATTTTTGATATAGGGAAATTTTAAATTTCGAAATTTAACGCATTTAACATTCTATATGGATATTATCGAAAAATGTCAAAACATATTCAATTTATTTAGTTAGCTTCTTATCTTTCTATCAGAAAATCCATTTATTAAAGTTATATCGTAGCGTGCAAATACTGATTGTCTAATTTAGCTTCTTATAAGGACACAGTATCGATTTATCGATCTTTTCTGCTATCCCTATGATAAAACCCTTTTAAGTAAACATCGGTTTTATGCAAATTTAAGATGTAATTGACAATTATGTTTGATATAAATAAAAGGTTAAAAGATATTCAGAATCAATGAACTCCTGAAGCTTATTCAACTTTATTTATCTCTTTAAATTGATAAACTTTAAAGCCGTATCAACTTTGAGGTTGGTTTACTTTTAATTCCATCACAAGTGCTTTGCCCAACTGTTTCAATTACCATCTTGAATTGCATTTTGAACCGATATCTACTGCTCATATCAAAATGTAATGTTCCAATACTTACGGCAGCGGGATGGCATCTCGTCGCTTCCATCGGCACAGTCCGACTCCCGATCGCAGACCCATCTCTGTGGAATGCACTTTCCGTTGCCACAGCGGAATTGCTCCGTGGTGCAAGTTGATTCTGCAAAGGCAAATGTTGGAAATCAATTTTATATAACTGCCGCAGATAATGGCTTCGATAGAATATTCCCATGAATATATATATAGACGGGGCATAGCTTCAAAACTTTTTTAATGCTTGAATGGTTAAGTGTGTCAAAAATAAATGTGATTTTTATGTTCCTGCGGCTGCTTCCTGCGCTGCAGCATTCGCTCTTTGTTTTATGCCTTAGTGGAAATAGTTTTCTGCCACATTTTATGCTGTTTTTTTATTTTACGACTCTCGTTTTTCTCGTTTTTCATTTTTGAGACACCAGAAACATAAAATGTGTCTCTTAAATGTATGTATATTTCTAATATTTCCGCCCATTCTGTGTTGTTGTTTTTGGCCTTTTGAAGGAAAACAATTTGTTGAGTGATGGAAATGCAATTAAAAGATAAAAGGAATGCCTGATGAATTTAGGTTTGACTTGTTAGGCAATTGACAGTTGAGTGTTGTAAGCCACTGTTGGCCAAAAATATTTATTGACCGGCAGCCACAAAGTAGCAATATTGAATGGCAATAAAATGGGTAAATAGCACTTTACATTTTTAGTTTGTTTTTCTACAAAAAAAAAAGTCAAATAAAAAACAAACTCGTAAATGGAAAGCATCGATTCATGCATGTCAATATAATTGGTAGAATTTCCAAAATATATGTACATATGTAGTTATTTCAATAAATAAATAAAATATAAGAGAGACACTCTGACAGCATTTTGAATAGTTAGTTAAATATTCATCTAAAATTGGTAACTATATCGATACTCCTCATGTTTATGCATATTTTAAAAGCTCCACAAAATATACTTGACAAATTTTCAACATTTTCACTTTGTGAATATTTTTGTAGCTTCTAAATAATTCCCATGGCACCAATTTCCACGTATTCACTCACAACTCGAAGCACTGCTCCCTTTAGAGGGGGACTTCCTTAAACGTTGCACCTTTTGTAAGCGCTTCTACAAGAGTGCCAACACCTTGGAGCTTAATTCAAATGAATTCCCCCGAATGACATCTGCATTTCGTTCGACATGGCTTTAAGAGGAGCCTCCTTGGCTCTACTCCCTCTCTCGGGGTAAAGTTTCCTCTTCGTCGGGAGTCGTTTGCCATAAACTTAAGCGCAACTTTTGTGGCAGTACATCTCACTCCCCGGGCGTCGAAAACTATGGCAGAAACTGTAGCCCCCAACTGGAAGCCCCACGAAGCACCGGGAACCCCCTTGGAATCCCGAAAGCCAAAGCCAAACCAAGGGACCCATGGGGATGCCCCACAGACCCACACAGCCGCCGCAGTGCGAAAAATGCGCATCACGTTCTGCGTTTTGAGCTCGAAGGGGAGTCCCGGGAAATGGGAAATGGGAAATAGAAACTGCGAGCTGGAATGGCAAAAACGTTCCGTAGCGTATTTACCTAGACAGCAGCATTTAGCGCACCAAAAAAAAAGAGCATTAAAAACGGGCTGAGACTGGGAATTAGACTGATGTATTCCCCGTGGTGTGTGGGGGGAAATAGTCTGGTTTGTTTTATAGTCTGATTTGGTTTGGTCTCAGCTTAATGAGTAAAATCATCAGCCAAGTTTAGCGGAAATTAATACGTCTATGTTACCTTTGATTACAGTTTATTTCAAGCAAAATATATACATTTCTTAGTTATTAAGTTAATTATGCAGAATATTACGGACATTCTTCACAAGCAATTTGTTTCACAGAGAGAGAACATTCAAGTTGATAAATATCAGAAAATATATTTTATTAAAAAAGGAAACTGTACAGATACAGTAAAAATATTATTTAAAATTTAAACTGTCTGAAAACTTGTTCACAATATGTTTCCTTGTATTTAAACAGTACTTTTGAATATATTTCCATTATGCCTGTGCATAACATTTCTTTTCTGGAGAAAAACTCATAAATTTCCTTGTTTGATATTTGGACAACCATTTGTGTAAGTATGTAAATACCTAAATATATATATCTTAGTATATGCATGGATTTTTTCGTTTTGTTCCTGTGCCTAAGAGCACTTTTAGCATCTGCTCTGCCACTTGCCACGCAGATGCAAACTTCATTATTTACAGTCTGCCGCGTCGCGACAACATGGAGTTCGGTGTGTGTATGAGTTAAGGGGCAGGTTGGGGCATGCCCCTCGCCAGACAGGCTCTTAATTCCCGTTAGAACAGGTTCGAGGGTGGAAAGCACAACACCCTGCAGATTATGCAATTCATTTAAAGTGCTTTCCCTGTCGCAAATCTGACGACACCTTGGGACACCTTTTTAAGGGCGATAATTAATGGCACACCTGGTGGTTGTGCTGCTGCTTCTACTACTTCTGGTTAGCTATCTGTATCTCCACAAATATATATTAAGCGGTAATGCAACGAAAGCTCAGCTGAGGGCCGCACAAGTGACAAAGTCAGTTGACTTTGAGCCAAAGCAAATACATCGGAAACTTTTCATACAGACAGACACACGGCGAACTAACCTCAACAAAGTTTTGGTAACAATGCAGCTAACTCCCTGCCCCCTCCCCGGGAGAAAATCCCCCACTCCCTGAGCTCATTTACAGGCTTCGGAATCGGCTTCGACCTTAGCTTAGTGCTAGGAAAAGTTGTCTTGTACTTGGGAAGTGTCCAAGGGAAGCAAAGTTCTGCGGTCATTCATCGATTTGGAGCATTAAAAGTTTTCTGATATTTGCCATTCTCCCAATCTCCACTTTTCTCACTTTTCCTTTGTTGGGGGAAATACTAAAATACTTTTTGTAGAATTAATGTAGAGATTAAATCGGAATTTAAGCCATCAGTAGACATCAATGATTAAAAATTAAATATGTGATAGAAAACTACAATCCGATTAACTAAGGTCTTACAAGCCTCTTTAATATTTCGTTTATTAAATATTCTCTTAATTCTCGATCATAGCTTAGGGCGGGTAATAAAAAACACAATTGAAAATATAAAAGATACAAACATGAAGTATTGGTTTCCATTGATTTCTGAGAGGGGACTTTGGGAGTGGTCCTGTGACGATGTCGGGAAGATGTCCTAATGAAGTTTGTCTGTCTGGCAGAGCATAAATTGAATTGTCCGATTCATTTAAACGGCGGAAGGCAGCGAAGAGAAAAAAAGTGTAACAGGAATAAGGAAAATGTGAAAGTGAATTTCACTTTGCCGCCCATTCCATTTGACCCTCCTCATCGGGAAAGACCCTGTCCCCCTCTCCCCCTCTACGGTTGCTGTCTCTCCCTGTCTCGTCTCAATAAATAAATGAAAAATTTGTGCCACAGTTAAGGGGATTTTCCTTTTTTTCCACTGTTTACAATTGTTTTCCTTTTCTGCCCCTCCCCCCCGCATTTTATTTATTTATTTTTTGCCTTTGTTTAGAGAAGTATCGTCTTCCGCACACACAGCGGGCTGTATCGTAAAAAAAGGCTCGCCGCTTGTTGTTTATGGCACCTTTTTCCACTTTATTGAAGTTGTACTCTGCCTCAAGTATTTCAATAAAAAAAGGAGCCGGGAAATGGGGCAGCTAAGGGTTTGTTTTTGGCCAGGGGTACACGAGACAATGCCATGCATCATAAATCATTCGCAGAGCAGAGATTGAGAGTCGCGCCCTAATGAGGCAAAGTTTTATGTTCCGGTCGACAGCCATCTCCATATATAGTCGCCATATAGCAACTGTTGCTGAATGAACCAATGCAACAAATGGTCGCGAAAGTCGATTTAAAGTGCACTTTAAATGTTTAGCAATTTATATGCTAAATAAACTTGTTTTTTTTTCGATTTTTTGGGAAAGCAAGGCCAACAAATTGAATCGCCGAGTGCCAGGCGGTGGTGCTGGTGCCATGAAATATTTGAAAAGTAATTCCCATTTCTGTGAATTCCTGGCGAACTAAGGATCGAGCAACTTCGATGGATTGCTGCGCTTAAAAATGTGCGGCATACATAATTTATGGCTTTCGGGGAAAAGGCAGTACAAGTGCGGGGTCCTAAGGTCTAAGGATGGAAAGGAACCAATCCAGGGATGTGTGTGTGTGTGACTGAAGTTATCTTAGGTCTGCAGTCAGCTTGCAAAATCCAGCAAGAAGGCAAATACACACAGACATACATACATATATAGATGTGCCATAAGAGCGTTCTTTTTCTTCCCCTTTTTAGATTTTTCACATTCTTTTGCTAAAGTGGAGGCGAGTGGCGGCGGGCTTATCAGCTGTCTGCTTTTCCAAATGTGCTGCATGAATATTTATGCCCTCGATATCGAACACTAACATGCCCATGACCGATATATATATATATAACATAACATATATATGGCAAAAGAGTGTGTATATAGCCATCTACACCACTTGCTATACGGGCTGCTTAAAAGTCTAAAGGCGTATTTTTTTCGGTGACTCTCTCTCCGGTGTCCTTTGTCTTTGTTGCTTACGCGTCGTATGGATAACGTGGCGTATGAGCAACGTGGCGTATGGGTAACGCGGCGTATACGCAACGCGTCGCGGCAAGGCACTTAATGCTGCCAGCAGCCATATCATATATCCCCAGGATGTCTTGGATCCACACTCTCTCTCAGTCTCTCTCTATCTCTGTTGTTAATGGCCATCCTCAGTTTAGTTGCCTATAAGTTATTTATTTATTTACTGACTTCTCCGCTTTGCCCTGTCGATAGGCATTATTTTTTGTCATCTCAGTGGAACTTGAATTGGGTTTATCCCCACATTCACATCCCACATCCCACATCCCACATCCCATGCGCCACGCCCATGCATAAAAGATAACACCCACTCTCGGAATACTTAGTACAGGCAATAACAGTAAATTGAACTTCGCTTCGTAGCGTTTAATGTGTGCCCGGGTCTTTTTTTCCCCCCTCTTATTTCATATCAAAATACTTTGCCAGGGAATTATTTCCTTTAGATGTTTGTGTAAACAATTTCCAGATAATAGAAATACTGAAAAATGTCAAGCTTACTAATTGATAATGGT